GTACATGGCAGAATCCTCCAAGAGCAGGTCTGGTAGGCTGGACCCGGCACTAAAATTAAAAGTACAGTAAAATGAGTCGAAGGCCGGGTATGAACTTTGAGATCAAACCTTCTAATCGGGGAAGGTGCAGAAAATTTTAAATGATTGAGGCGTCTCTCAGGAGAAACCAACTAATATATCACGCCAAAAATTCTCTATTAGAGCATGGGAGTGCAGTGACCAAGATTAAAAAGCATTGGTGATATAGAGGGGTGTTCAGTCAGACAACAAAATACCCCACAGGCATTTTCGCTTTCATTTTTGCGACAGCTAAGATGCCTTGCGTGCGCGGGGAGACACTGGAAAACTAAAAGGAGTACAAAATAGCCAAAGCACGCTTCTAATTACCTTGAAAGCACGTTACGTTCCAGGGTCAGCAAACTTAACGGAGGCTTGAGGAAAAGCTAATTCCTACCCCGTAAAGTACACCTCATCAGTGAGTTATGTAGGGGCAGAAATTACCTCAATATGGTTCTTGTCCAGTCTATCGATCAATAAATCTTGCGGCCATAACACCCGATGTCAAGGACAACAGCGACGGTTTTGTGACCGTCATATCTGCTATTGCTTGCTGATTTGTCTCTGATGATGAATCCGCGACGGATCTCGAAACGTCAGGCGAATAAAAGTGTTGTCCCAGCGATTCAGCCGTCTTCTTCTCAGTTTTGTGACTTCAAAATATCGGAACGGGATTTTCTGCGATGCCAATTACGTACTTTTACACAGGCTGGCATAGAAGCAGTGGAATCTTCTGTAACTAACGGTTTATCCATTCTGGCATGATGTTCAAGGTTTTAAAATAGGATCCCAAGCAGAGCCAATTACTGAATAATCTCTCGGAAATACTCAAATAATTGACAGTAACAAATCAATATCAATATTTCCGTTTACTTACGGAAACGTTTGAACCATGGAAGAAATTAATACAACTTTTATCCCCATGCAATCTGACTTTTCATTTGCACTTAAACCGACCTATTGTACAAGAAGTAACGTTCCTCAATTTCGCAGCTGCGAAGTTTCTGTAGGGCAGTGGGTCGCTGCATTTGCACATGGCGAGAAATGGGCACTTACAGAAAATTCAACTGGAAATCCAGATAGCAAAAAAACGGAGTTGGGAACCATAGTATTTAGTAAATTTTTACCCTTCTGTTGTAGGGGGCGGTGCTAGGCTGGGGATGGTCTCATTGTCACCGCCCAGAAGGTCATCCAGGGCTTGTGCAAATTCGTTAGTGCCCAGGACCAAATCGACTTCCTTGTGCGGCTCTTCGTCCCCGCCAGCTGTCGCGGGCACCTCAAATTCATGCCTTGAGGCCTCCAACTTTTTGTCGTAGCAGGGCAT